CAGTCCGCCCTGAAGACCGGAACGGCGCGGGAACACGGCGAGAGGAACGCGCGGAGCAAAGGTAAGTGAATTGACGCAATATGGAGAATGAATTACTATAGGGGGGATGAATTACTATGGGGGAATTACTATATGGGGGATGAATTACTATAGGGGGGATGAATTACTATGGGGGGATGAATTACTATAGGGGGGATGAATTACTATAGGGGGGATGAATTACTATATGGGGGATGAATTACTATATGGGGGATGAATTACTATATGGGGGATGAATTACTATATGGGGGATGTATTTTCAGTTTTAAAAATGTGGCTCTCAAAATAAATTTCAAATCGTGGTTTTGGCGAGATTTGGCTCAGTTGAAAAAAAAAGGTTGCCCACCACTGGGTTAGGCGAACCATAGTTGTGTTTAAGTTTGCCGAAAGAAAGACACCGCAAGGCATAATATGTCGCAATGTTTTAATGCCGTATTGAGCGCACACCACAGGATCCGGTATTGTGTGCAGATGAGGGAGTGTAGGGTTGCCCCAGAACAGCGTGTAAGGGGAGTAGGTGTTATTTACATCATATTGCACCCTAGCCTGTCACCATACCTCCAGGGTCGCCTGCAAAGGGAGTAGTGATGGACTTTGGGCCCCTATAAACAAGTTCCACATAAGAGCCCAGTATAGCGGCTTCCAGGATCACCGCTGCATGATCCCTAGGCTGGGAGTACCACCAACGCACCGTGACCAAGACAGCCTCCCAGTAGTATAGAAGTAGCCTAGGCAGTGCCAGGCAGCCACAATTAACTGGTAAGGTAAATTGGGAAAGTCTAGGGGCCCTCCCAGCCCAGACAAACACAGAGACAATGCCATCCACTCGATGGAAAAAGGAAAGCAGGATTTGTATAGGCGTGTGTCAAACAAAGTAGAGAAACTTAGGTAGAAAAAACATTTTAAAAAGATTTACTCGGCCAATGGTGCTAATAGGAAGGGAAGACCAGGCGTTACATTTAGTCTGCAGCTGTTGTAAAAGAGGATGACGATTGTCCAAAAGATATTTAGTCCGGTCACGCTGACCCACAATGCCCAAGTATTTAAATTTGGAGACCGATTTAATAGGGGCAAATTAAATGACAGGCAAAGGTCCCGACGCAAGAGGAAATAGTATTGACTTCTCCCAATTTATGCGTACTCCAGAGTAACCACCGAAGTGATAGATAATGTCAAGTGCCTCATTTAGAGATAGATCACAGTCCTTCAGATATAAAAGAGTGTCGTCTGCATACAGGGGAACTCGATCCTCCCAGTCGCCTACCGGAAGTCCTCGCAAGGTATTGGAAGAGCGGATCAGACAAGCCAAAAAGCTTGATCGCCAGGGCAAACAGGCCCGGTGACAGTGGGCAACCCTGCCAAGTGCCCAGGTGGACAGCAAAAGGGGGAGAGAGTATATTGTTAGTATGGGCTCTTGCATATAGTGTACTGTATAGGCATTTGACCCATGAAATGAAATTGGGGCCAAATCCAAAACGCCTCAGAGTCTCCAACAGGTATAGCCATTCAACCGAATTGAAGGCTTTTTCAGCGTCCAGGGACAGCACTACACCAGGTTCATCGCTGTCACTAGCTATAGTAAGTGAATAATCTACTTATATTGATGTCAGTGCCTTTACCCGGCATGAAGCCCATTTGATCATTGTGTACTAACTTAGAAATAACCGAGCGCAGCCTCCCAGCAAGCACTTTAGCGAGTAATTTCGTGTCACTGTTCAACAGGGAAATTGGATGGTAAGAGGAGCAGTGTGACGGATCCTTTCCAGGTTTTAAAATCACTACTACCACCACTTGGAGCATAGAAGAGGACAAAGTTCCCACCTCATGTAGGGCAATAAAAAAGGTTTGGAAGCGGGGAAACTAGTTGTTCAATGTAGGTTTTATAAAATTCAATTGGAAATCCATCTGGACCCGCCGTTTTGCCAGATTGCAGAGCACCAATCGCCTGCTGGATCTCCTCCAAGGAAGCTGGAGCCTCCAATTTTCCCCTCTGGGTCGGAGAAAGAGATGGTAATTCAACAAGATACAAATACCGGGACAGCTCCTGTGATGTATAGGTAGTTTTAGAAGATTATACTGTAAAGTTGCATAATATTCAGCAAAACGATGGTTAATTAAGACTGGATCAAGGATCCTAGAGCCATCCTCAGCTTGTATAAGGGCAACGTTAGTCATGGGAGTTTGTTCCATAGCCAACCAAGCCAACAGGCGTCCAGCTTTGTCCCCTTGTTCGAATATACACTGCTTCTGGTGGAGCAGCTCCTTCCTGGAGGCCTCTGTTCATAAAAGTAGGGCCTCCCTAATAGCCATTTGCAAGTGGTGATGAGTAATAAGATCAGGGTTAGACACAACTGGATTCAGATTCCTGCACCCGCCGGGTCCACCATCTCCACCTCTGACCTGCAGCCCCCCAATTGGGGTACGGTACTGTGCCCTAAGGGTAGCCTTACAAGCCTCCCAAGTAACAGAAGACACAGCGGTATCTGCATTAGAGGCCCAGTACTGTTTCAATGCCTCCTCCATGGGGGATTTCACCTCTTGGTCACTTTTCCAATAGCGGGATAGTCTCCAAAAATGTTCCCCTGGGGCATCAGAAATACTCAAGCAGAGAAGAAGTGGAGCATGGTCAGATATACCCCTAGGAAGGATTGCAATCTCCTGGAACCTTGCTAAGAGTGGAGGTGTAACATAGCAAAGGTCAATTCTAGACTCTGTTCTATGTGATGCCAAGTGGCAGGTATAAGCCCTAGTCTCAGGATTCTTCTAGCGTCACACGTCCGTGAACTGGTAAAGCTTTGCCCACCTGGCCAGGTCCAACTCACTGCTGGCTTCAGGATAGAGTTTATCAACACTAGGGTCAGGAGTGAGGTTAAAAATCGCCAGGAAGAAGAATATGGCATGTGGGATATGAAGCCAAGAGCGGGGCCAAAGCAGCCAAGGAGTGCATGGAGGCAGGAGGCGGAAATTAAAGGCCAAAAATTACCATTTCAAAGCAGTTAATCATTTCATGTATCAAAACATACTTGCCCTCAGGATCCAGCCTGAGATGGAGAGTGAACGGTAGTAATTTATGACTAAGAACACTAACTCCTCGGGCATATGAAGAATACGTAGCACTGTAATAGTGTTCGACCCAAGCTCTCTTTAAGCTAAGTACTCTACGGCCCATCAAATGGATTTCTTGCAAATACAAATGTGTGGACAATAGGATATGAGAAATTGGAAGACTAAGGAACGCTTCCTAGGGGAATTTAAGGCCCCGCACATTCAAGGAGATACATTTCAGATCAGGGGGCACCATGATATAGGTGTTCTAAAACAGATTTACGGCCTCTCAGACCGAATCCCGAGAAGAAAACACAGAAATGTAAGTCATACATCAGAAAAACTTGTATATCAAGCTTGATACCATACAGAAACTGGACCACTTGAGATAGCAAATGTACCTTGCAATACAGAAAAAAAACAAACTCCCAAAAAACAACCAACTGCTGGCATCTGGGGGGCCCTCTTGGCCCCAGAATGTGTCAAGATCTCTCGGAATCAGCCCTATGTCAGTCTGCAGATTTCAATTTTCGTGGTGAGTACCGCTTGACAATTGGTAATTGCCGTCATGAGAGAGTTGAAGTCCGCAGGTGGGTTGGGCTCTTGTAAGGAAGGTGCGGCCATTGTTGTTACCCCTTTAGCTCCTGCGGCCGATTGGTTTTAGCAGTTTGTGTAGTTTCGGATAGTCTGCCAGCGGCCAAAGGCTTGCCACTAGTCATCCCCAGGCCCCATCCACACAGGTAGAGAAATGTGGTTACTATAATAATTGGCTCTCATTACAGGTATTCGGCACACATTGCCCTCACACGTGACTAAATAAGTATAAATGAAGCTGTACTTATGTATGGGGCATATGGCTCTTCCTGCGGTACCCCCAAGTGGCTATCACCCTGAAGATGGAAGGGAGGTTTGGGTCGTGGGCACAATTGGTGCCCTCCCCGAACACTGGAGCCCCAGACCGCACAGGAGATATACCACACCGAGGCTCCGATGCGGGACCCGGCAGTTCCCCTCCGTTGTTCAACTCGATGGGCGCTGTGGAGGTTGAGGGTGGGTGATCTCCAGCAGGATTCTAGCCCCGGCTGAGGAGTCAAGTAGCATGCAGGCCGCAATAGATCGCAGGCAACCAGAGCTTTGGAGGGGGTGTATATAGCCCGGATTCTAACACCTCCAGGCAGCAGCAACCCCCAGCAGGTCCCCGGCATGGAAGAAGCAGCGCTACCCCGGGGATGGGTACACAGGCTTCACTGGCCTGTAGGCGTCAACAAGCCGCAGGCGTCCAGCAGCTCCTATTATCTTCTCCCAGGCAGCGGACTTATGGTACAGCAGCCCAGTCGTCATGGCAGCGGCAACCCGGATGGGAACCAGTCCCGGTCTGCATGGAGGCCACCGTAGGCCTCGGATGTCTGGTGCTGTGGGGGGGGGGTCAGACTAACACGGCAGTCAGCAGTGCCCCTGGTACGGGTAGTAAGTGTGCGGCCCCCAGCAGATAAAAACTCGAGGCAGCAGAGCTATCTACTATGCGACTGCTCCGGTCGCCATCTTGGACAAGCCCCCCATTTTTGCGTATTTATCCGGCTTGTTGAGTGATCTGCAAAGCATGAGTTCTTGTACATTAACAGAGAAGCGTGGGCAAAGTTTTTTGGGCCACGTGTCCCTTGTGGTTCACAGAAGTACGAGGTGAAACTCGGGTTGGTAAAACAAAGGGTTAAAAGAAAAATCAATAAGAAGGGTGGGTGGGGGGCAGGGATAATATTGGGGTAAATAGAAATATGTATATGTGAAATATTTTTGCAAATGTGTTGTTCTTTTTATACAGGAAAATCAAATAAAAGTTTAAATTAAAAAAAAAAAAAAAAAGAAAAATCAATATAAAAAAAACAGGTGTATTTCCCTGAGTTTTGATTAATCCATACCTGTGAATCCCCTGCCAGGATCTTTGGGAGGAAGGCGGGAAGCACTCTGCAGTAATGGCGATAGGAATTCTGTTCCAGGGGGAATCGTTGATGGGTCACAGTCACCCACGCAGTAGAGGCGGGTGGGTTTACCCATCATGGAGTACACATCAGTCATGGCTAGGAGAATAAAAAGAAAGCAGGAAAATTAGCAGATGAACCATTTCTAGTGGATGAGCAATTTATACACAATGTGAACACACAAATAGAGAACATCACGTTCTTCCACGTTCCATTATCTCCTCCATAAATAGAATAGTCCATTTTAGGTTAAGTTGACAGGGTTACATACACCGCCAGTAACCACAGGACAATCTCCATCAGCCTCCACTACAGTTAGGGTAGGCCTACTATATTTATAAAACCAGCTTTGGTCAGTGTGAAGCCAATCACTTAATTCTGCAGAATCCAAAGCCATCCTCTAAATAGACAATAGAGCAATAATGACTTGTATATCTCTGAGCCCCGACTGCAATTAAGATGTTCTTCAGAGCTGGTTCACACCAGAATGCACACATTCTTATGGGATTCTCACGTTGTCCAGTTTTGAAGCCTGGGTTGCAAAATGCACTGGACCACAGAAAAAGGTGTGCAAGCATTACCTTTTCAGATGCACTGCTCCAAACAGCATGGTACTGCAGTACCATGCAACCTGGTGCCCACAAATGTGCTGCATTTGTGATCCGAGTTGGGTTCCATTATTAATACATTGACTCCACCATGCAAGTCACAAGGGCAGCACGTTCACTTGCAGTGCAGGAAATGCACTGCGTTTTGGTGTGAACCAGCCCTAAGACCGCACTTACACTTGGCGTTTCCTGAATGCGCAACATAAAGCACAGGAAAAACGCATTCTGCTGTGTTTCAGAAAAACATTACGCTTGCGGTACCATTAATTGTTAATGGCGCCCTAAACACAGTTAGCAGACACGCGGTTTGTCACACTGCAAACATGCCAAAACGCACACTGAAAAAACGTGCGACGTTCCATGCCTGAAAAGGTTCTGGAGCATCTCTGGCACATTTGTAGAGCATAGGGCAGCACATTCAAGTGAACTGGCTGCCCTGTGCACAATATGCCGAAACGCATGAAAAACACACAAAAAAAAAAAAAAAAAAAAAAACCTGCAAGTGGGAACACACTTTCCCGCTACGCGAAGTATGATTAGGGCGTAAATGAAACCTATGGGGAGGCAGGCTTCACCTGACAATGCTAGCTGTCTGCCTCTGCAAACAAGCACCCAAACACTCTCATTGCCCCTCTGTCAGTAATCTGGGAACCCCATGTTTGCTCACCTGCTTGTAATGCAGGAGAGGAATTAGCAATCACACCCCACTGTAGGCCCCTTTACATTCCCATTACAGTCCAGTTACTGGTTTCCAGACATTTCCCCCTCACCTTGGGACATTTCTCGACCGAACACCACAGCCTTGGAGTTGGACACACTGAAGCAATGCTCTAAGGCATCCAGCCGCAGGTTGAAGTTGATCAGAGCTGCTTCCACTCCCATTTTTGCCATACCGAGCCATAGTCCCACATACTCATTGCAGTTCTCCATGAACAAGGCAACAACGTCCCCGGAGCGGAAGCCCTCCGCGTACAAAAAGTTGGCAACGGCATTGGAGAATTCATCTAGTTCTTTAAAAGTCCATGAAGCACCCGTCCCTCAAAGATCAATGCTGTTTTGTCTGGATGGCGGTTGACGCATTCCTTGAATATGACAGGGATCGTATTCCTCTCTCGAAGGTGACGACTGACTTGCAGCTTCACACGGACCAGTGTCATAGCACCTCTGGGAAAATGAAAAACAATTGTCTGAGCTTCAATTAAAATTCAGTAGTCTGCTCATTAGGCTCTGTAGATGCTGGAAAATGACAGGTCTGTGTACCTTACCACACCTTAAGAGCATCAGTTTACCATTAAACAATACCCACCGTGGTATCAAAAATCAGAAACAGTCCAAACAAGCTCAAGAGTCATCTGTAAATGATTTTTCTTCTGTGCAGCCCCTCCTTGATTCTCAGCATACCTTGAACAATATCTCTCAGCCTTGCATTAGGACGCCAGTCCTGCTATATATATTATCATCTGGAGCTTTAAAGTGTTACTATACCCCGGACCCTGCATTCACTATATCTGGTCTCCCACGATACACAGAACATAGAAATGCAATTATTTTAGTAAATATAAACTGCTAAATACCTTTTCTCATCAGCAGTATATAGCAGATTTTCTACTTCTGTCAGTGTCCCAGCTGAGCACTGATAAGGCTTGTAGGAGGAGTTTTCATTCTCTTCTGACTGTATTATGAGGCTGCATAACCCCTGACCCTCTGTCTGGACAGTGCTGATTGGCCCTAGGCCAATCACATCCTCCCTCCCTAAAAAAGAAAAACTCTCTAGCCATACACACTAAACTGAGCATGTGTACAGTGACTCCTAGAGCTCCCTCCTTTCAGCAGATGGATTGGGGACAGTAGAAGAAGAGGAAGATCTGAGAGACAGGATCAAACAGCGTTTGTATACAATGCACAGAATTAACCCCTTAGGTTCCACAGTGAGTATAACAAGCATGCTTTACTGCATATACAGACTGATTTTACTGTTGTAGGCTTAGTAACACTTTAAACAAGCTTTATTAAAAAAGTAAATGCAAGTGCTTAGGCAAGACATGGATGGATGATGTGATTTTCTTTCTTGCAACCACAGGATGCAGGAAAGAAAACCACTTGGTTCCCCCCCATCAACACAGTCAGTGTTGATGGAGAAATCTCTTTCGCAGTGCTATTGTATTCTACCAGTGGAAAGCCTTCCCTGCCAGCAAAACACAATGATTTCTGCCAATGGCTATAGCTGCCAGCAGTAATCGCATGAAAAAAAAAAATCGTACAGGCTGGTCAAATCGATGGATCAAATTCAGTACAGCCAGCCTGCCCATACATAGGTAGATCGAATGTCGGCCAGACCTTGCTGAACTGGACAAAATTCGATCCATCTTTGGACATCTTTACTGATGAATACAGAGCTGCATTAATTGATCTCTTTTATATCTGTCTGGAGTTTAGCTTCAAAGTGGAATTCCACTTTACTAAGTTACATTTAATAAGGCACCTAAATAAAAATGTTCCTTTAGACCACAGGCTAAGGATGTTTTTTAGCTTTATATTCAGTAACTCCCCTACATACAAACATTCAACTTGTGCAATTTCAAAGATGCATGTGTTCGCATGTCCAATCCTGTAAAGGCGGGCACACACACTCAGTTTATTTGTTCAACCCAGCAGGCTGAACGAAAAAACACAACAAAAAAACTGACAGATCGCTGTACCAACACAAGCAATGTTGGTGCAGTGATCTTCCCTGCTGTGCTGACAGGGCATTGCTCTATGAAGAGTGATCCAAAGGTGGATCGTTCTTCAGAGGCCAAAGCAAGCGCGAACAAGCCGTAAAACTGTTCCCCCGTTCAAACCAGCAGCATGAACTATTGTGCTGCAGCTGGTGTGCAATGTGAAGACAGCGGTGCCAATGTGGTGAAAATAGCACAGTGCACTTTTTTTCATTTATGCAAACTTTATTGAAATGTCACAAAGTGACATTTCAATAGGTTCTACTAGACTAGACGAAACACGCTGCGCTGAAAAAAGATACTGCATGCCATTTTTCAGCACAGTGGTATGAACGGACATGATAAGGAACAAGTCCTTTTGCCTTGGCAAGGATGCCCAGCATAGTACAGCACATCTGGTGCGGACAGGGCCTTACACAGCAATGGTTTCCTTTAGGAAGACTGATAGAACTGCCTCACTAAAGCCGCATTCTCAAATGCGGCACAGATTGGTGTTAGGCTCAATTGGCGTCAGGTGATACCAGTTGCAGTACATTGTAGTACTGTTCAAAGTCAATGCAGGGGCTGTAGTCCAATGTTTATCAGCCTAATTCAAATCACCATTCGAAAATCAAGTCCAAGGACGATGAAACAAATGACATATTCAGACGGTACAAAGGGTTGTATGAGAGGTCTGCTACAGATAGCTGTGAAGGCATTTGGTTATCTGTTATCACAAACATCGAGTAAAGGGCTTCTATATTGAGAATAATAAACTATTTATGGATCATAATCATTTAGCAATTGCAACTGCAGAAGGACAATGCTGTTCATTTGGCCAGCTTGAGGTGCACAGTTGCCACATCTCTAGTGTACTTTAGAAAATGTAAAGGGTCATGTCACTCTACCCATTCATGGCAAAGAGACAGGCTCTCTTGAAAGCTCACCAACTCTCGCACTGCTACTCACCTTTCTTGTAGTCTGTTATGTCTATTGGACCCATGGGTCTAAACCCCCCCCCCCCCCCCCCCCCCCAAGATCTCTGTGTCGGATCTTACACAGGGTTCATGACCCGGTTCCCTTACCTCACATGTGACTAGGTGATTGTCAACTTGCTGCTATGACCACAGAACACTGCATCCTGGGAGGCCAGAAGGGTGGTCGGATTTCTCACCATACCTGGATGCACCGGGTATTTATTTAAAGGTTCCGGTGAGCAAAGGAAGCAGAGAAAACCAAGTATTAGTGGGTGGGTAGATGGTGCGATTGAGCTTTTAAGAGAACCTGTCACTTTGCCCATTCAGAGCAAAGTGATTCTCTGAATACAGCACCCAAATGGTTATTAACGGAATGCATTGACTTTACATTTCAGGCAACTTTTTAGCAATTTCATCCAATTTTCAGATGCAAAAGCAATGGAACAGATTAAGACAAGCTCCAGCCAACAGTTTATACAGAAAACCACATTAACAACAAAAACAGGGGGTAGGTTGCCAAGATCCACTAAATTATTTTTGTGACCAAAAGCTCCAGCCAAACAGCTACATTTACAGCGAATACATGAACGGGAACGGCTTTACTTGCCGAAGGACTTGATATTCTGTATTCAGCCCAGCAGTTCGGATGTTCCAGGTGTATTAAAAGTGCACTTTTGTTTCTTTGTTACTATTTTTGCTATTAGTGAAACAATTTGGACTAATGTTTTGTTTCTGATAAACTCTATCTTTGAAGCTTGCTTACACTAAACCAGAAATGTCCCACAAGCCATTTTTGCAGCAGATACACAATCACTGTCCTTCACACTTTTGTTGCTAAGAAACAATTAACTGCAGTCAATGAAAGGTCTGGGTTATTGCGATTCATGCGATCTGCAGCTCAGGCAAGCAATGGCATTTGGAGTTTGCAACAGATAGGCCAGGTATATCAGCAGATCATGTTATTCAATCAAGCCGCTGAGCTCCATGGTGAAGCAGTGATTTGTAGCCAGCTACTAAAGTGCTGTAAAGGCCTCATTCACAGAGTTTTAGCAGCTTCAAAGACCTAAAGCCGGACGAATTCAAGCCAAGTATGGGCTATCTGGTTGTACACACGTCTATCTATTGATTAACTTGTGTACAATCAACCTGTCCAGTTTTCCTGAATGATCAGTGCCGCTGGCTATAGCCGGCAACACTGATCATTCCCCATCAGCAGAACACAATAGCACAGTGGGAGTAATCCCCCCACCCACATCGAACATGTGGATGGGGGGAATCTGTTCATTTTATTTTCCGCTCAATTCGCTGGTTAAAAACGAAAATAATTAATCATGTATGGCTTGCCTTAAGTGTAAAAATCCGGCACATTCCGACACCTGCACCGCATTCAGCCTTCAATATAAGTGAATGGCTGTACACAGCCACACTTGTGTAAATGGCAATTGCTTCTGTAATTTGTGTATTTGGGATAATACATAGAAGTAATCAGTGTTTAAACAAGTATGGATGGGTACTGCCATCTACTTTTAGAAGCAGCTGCATTCGGCATCCGCGGCTCCCTGGGTGCAGGAAAGCACTGGAGATTTTACACTTGACTTTGGAGATAATAAACACCCGTGTGCATGAGGCACAGAACTCTGGGTCCAGCTACAGATCAGCAAACAGGAAAAATAATCAGAATTTTAGCGGCTGCCAATTTTCTGGTGTGACTGTGATGTAAACAGACTAGGGGAGCAATAACCTGGTGATGGGGTTTTTCAGTATGGAACAATAGTGATCAGGCCCAGGGTGGATTTGATTTAAATCACGATTTAAATCACTAGTCAGTAAGGCTTGATTTAAATCCTAGTTTTCTACATAAAGACTAATTCTTGCTGGTATAACTTTAATATGCAAGTAGATGAAGATTTTTAGAATAACAACTTTTCTTATTAGTTTTTTTATCAGTTTAATATATTTGGACAACTTTTCTGTTGTATTTAGGATGGAGAAAAATAATCATTACCTTAATAATAACAATTTAAATAGATTTATTCAACTGAAACAATAACATTCCAGCATATGTTATTTGCTTAAACAAACATCCATGTTTGTAACTAATTTGGCTAAACAAAATATATATATTTTAAGAAACGTAGACTGTCAGCCCCTTCCTCCTCACACTTAGTTTCACTTTCTTCTTGTGCAGATCTATTCCACTCCAAACAATCAGAAAAATATTGTTTCTATTCTATTCACTGAACTTCTTGAAACTTAGCAGTGAAGGGGATGATTTTGTATTCATAGGTTTGTAGAAGTTAGGATTAAGGTCTTTTTCTTAACTCTGTTCATGTTATAACATTTTTGCTGTGAAGAAGAGGCATGTGATCTCCGCTGAGTCAAATTCAGTTTTGAGAACTGCAAAAGTAAACCAAACGTCTGTGATAATATCTTGTAGGCAGAGAAACTGCCCAATAATCTTACAAAAACCTCTGGAAGAGCATGACATTGTGAATGGATTCATGGAATTTATTTACCAAAAAAATTAAACATATACAGCCTTATTCTACATAATTAAAAACTAATCTTTATTTTATGATGGAATAACCTTTGGATGGTAATATATTTTCCTCAAAAAGCATTTTATTTAAAAAAAAAATCCGATTTAAATAAAAAAAAATCCGATTTTTTTTGATTTTTTTAAAAAAATCATTGATTTTTATCCACCCTGATCAGGCCAGGCACCAAGACATTTGTGAAGAGTTTCCACTAGTCTGACTGCCTGCAAGTTTTGTCTCCACACTAGTCAGTGTGTTCAGTTTTTGTCACCATAAAACAGTGATATCCATCATGTGTAGAAAAGTAAACTCTCAATTTTATACCAGCGTTGGCTTACTGCAAAAATCTGGGCTTGTTCAAAAGGACAAACAGCAATTCTCATTGCATAGTAAGCCACAGAAGGCTTTTAGGCTATATTCAGTAAGGCTCCATTCCAGGGGCGGACTGACTATTGGGGAACTCAGGCACTCCCCGAGGGCCCGGGGTCAGTAGGGGGCCCCATGAGATGCCCTTGGTACCTTTCATAGGCTTTTTTGGGTGTGGTTTGAGTGTGGGCAAGGACACAGGGGCCCCAAGATCCCCTATTGCCCAGGGGACCCATAAGTTGTCAGTCCGCCCCTGGTGCAGCCCATCAGCGTACCTGTCAGCACCCCATGTCAGCACAGCCCATCAGTGTACCTGTCATGCAGCCTTTCAGCACAGCCCATTAGTGTACCTGTCAAACGCAGCCCATCAGTGTACCTTTCATGCAGCCCATCAACATACCTGTCAGCATTGCAGTGAATGATATGTACGTTTTGTACACGTCAGTGACCATTCGCACTTGTGTGACTTGTCATACAACTTTGGAGACCAAGTTACATGACAAGTTGCAGCCCATGTATTAAAATGTAAGTCATTAAAATCTATGCGACATAAAATTGAAGGGACTTTAGAAAGGTTCCTGCAATACACTGATGTGACTGTCATGCGACTTGAGTGTCATAGACTGCAATGTAAACTCTCAAAAGTCGCATGAAAGTTATATCTTAATGTTAATGCAACAGTCGTGCAACAGTCAAATCAGTTGTATCAAAGTTGCAATGTAAAGTCACAATGGATATCGCATGACTTTGGAGTCGCACAAATGTGAATGGAGCCTTAGGTGCATAAAGTGGATTTTTACAGCTGGTATTACAGGTGTATGTGAACAGCCGTGGCCAGGAAGCCTGTTAAAAGCAATAGCCAGCGCTGACAGGAGCCACAGCTGTTTGCATGTATCTGCACAACCAGCAGCTACTTGTGATTAGGGACAGGGGTCTGACCCTGGACACAGACTGCATCCAGGATAGATCAGCTGTCTTTAATCAAAAAATACCTACGAAACAGCTGCAGTCCCTTTCAGCCTGTCATTGCTTTGTACAGGCTTCCCTGGCGCAGCTGGTTCTTGCCGAGGAATCCCCTGTATACCCCTAATCACTCTTTTAAATGTATCCTTCCTGTATCTTTCAATGGCTTGACTTTAGTAGACTGAAAAACTGATTGATTGCTATGGGGTTGACATTTTTCATATCATTGTTATCACTTTATTCAATAGGTATAGCTGTGCTCCTTAACATTTAACATGGAATACAACATTAATGATATTTATCAAAGACACTTGATAGGCCATTTACCCAAGGCTACATTTATCTGAAAGTCCTTAGTATAAAGTGTCTGCTCTGCTGTAGGGCATGTTGATAAATGAAGCCCACTGATTTCATAGTGTACAAAGCACTTTTTAATTCTGTCTGCTTGCACGCGGCAGTAAATGGCAGTATGGGAGCATTCAGTACTGCAAAGCGATCCCAAATGTTTCCACAGAAGATCCCACCGACACACAAGTAATGCACTGCAACCAACTGCTCAGAAATGCACACATGCTTAGGCTTCACCCTGTTGGTTAAAATAAACTTCATGATCAACACTGAAAAATGCCTAAAGCAGCATTTCCTCCAGGGATGGTAATGATTTCAGCCAGTTATACTTGATTTAAACACGGAGTCAAGACTGTAAACATGGCTTAAAGGGTTAGTTCACCATAATAAAACCCCACTATGCAGTTATGCTACACCATAGCAGCACCCTATGCTAATCAGACCTTACAACCGTGCCTGATAACATACCTGTGGACCATATGTGATCATTTGATTTTACAATTAAATGGTGTAGAGCAGGAGGAGGCCGACAGGACCACTCATACAGAGCATTTCTGCTGGTTTATCAGAAACCAGCCGAAACACGCATGGTCAGCTTAAGGCAGCCCGTTAATGGATCTGTTTTTTTTTTTTTTGTTCAGCCAGCGAGTTGAAAGAAAAAAAAAAAAAAAAAAAACAGACCCAATTCCCCCATCCACACTTTTTAGGTTGATGGGAAATCCTCTTGCAGTGACATTGTATTCTGACAGCAGGGAGACATCCCCACCATAATAGGAGATCAGGGTTGCAGGTTATAGCCTGCAAATCTGATTGAGCAGGAAAAATACAGCAGCGTGGTTGTACAACAGCATGGTTGTACATTGACTTCTGTTTAACCACAGTGCCCATACATGGATTCACATTTGTCCAGTCCTAGACGACTAGACAAATTCTGGTTGAATTTCTATCAATTTATGGCCAGCTTAAGGCTATGAGTACCGTATTTATTCGAGTATAACGCGCAAAATTTTCTACCAAAAAAAGAAATCAAAGTTTGGGTGCGCGTTATAAACGAGGGCTGGGGTGGGGTGACGCAGTGGCGGCCGATCCATTGAGGGCGCAGGTGCTCACTGTACGCGAGGGCGAAGAAAAAAAAACGTCCCCTGTGCCGGCCCTGCCCCTTTAAGGGGCGGCGAAAACAGGGGATCGTTTTTTTTTTTCTACGTCCCCTCGTCGCGTACAGTGGGCGGCCCGAACTGGCGAGATGCACTGGTGGGGTGACGCAGTGGCGGCCGATCCATTGAGGGCGCAGGCGCTCACTGTACACGAGGGCGAAGAAAAAAAACCGTCCCCTCGTCGCGTACAGTGGGCGGCCCGAACTGGCGAGATACACTGGGGGTGAGAATTCTTATCCGCTGTAACATATGGTCGCCTCTTCATTTCCTTTCCTCGCCTCGCCCACACGTTACGGTAAGCATTGCTGTTTTGCACAATTCAGTGTTCTTCATATTTTTGGTTCTTCAAAAAGTGAAACAAAATTTTATACCGATTTTTAATCGAAAATTAGGGGTGCGCATTATACACGTGTGCGCGTTATACTCGAATAAATACGGTAAGTACTCTGCTTAAAGACATAATCTTTTGCACTAATTCCTCCCTGCTTTTAATGAGGAGGTTCACACTGAAGAAACAAAAAAAAAAAAAATTCAAAGTAAGTAGCTACAAATCCTGTAGCTGCCAACTTTTAATAAAACGACACTTACCTGTCCAGGGATCCAGTACCATCCTTACCCAGCCTAGTTCTTTACTATTCTTCAGGTTCCCGGCACCAGCATCCTAATTGGACAGCTGGCTAAGCTACTTTCGTCTTTGAAGCTGGCTGCCCACTGCACTTTGTGAATGGTCCCGCTGTCTTCTGGGACCTGTGACGTGCCCCATTAGACTGTGGGGAGGGGGAGAGGAAAACTTCTGCTCAGACCGCCTAGGCGAGCCAAGCGGAAGTGGGAGCAAGTACCTGTCAAAACTAGGTACCCGCTCCTCACTCAAAAAAATGACATGCCAGATGTTGCAGGACAGGAGGATGAACATCCCCTTTTTTTCCCCACAAAGGACAAGCTGTTTTGAATGCGGTCTCATAATATTTCACTTTGCTTTGACTGGGGCCAGGCTGGAAGTGCACAGGTTAACTAAAGAGCCAAACATGTTATGGACTATAGGGGTTAAAGCTGCTATATCTTTATTATAGTGACCTTGTCAGCAGGTTCAAAATAGCATGCGACAATACCAGTAGAAACAAAAGGCAATATACTTCTCCCCCCCGGGAGGCTTGTGTCTTGAAATGTTACTACCAAGCTGCTCCCCAAAACGCTGCAAGTATTCGACTGCTGGTGATGCAAGTATCCATTTTCCCCCATCACATTGCAATGGAGTCTCCCGCTGGATCATAAGTCCTGTAGTGACTGCGTTAGGTGGGGGCAATAACCAGAAGTGTTCAATACTTGCAGCAGCTGGGGAGCAGAATCATGATGACCTTTCAAGACCAAAGCTGTTGGGAGAGGTATTTTCCCTCTTGACAGGGTCACTTTAAATCCAGGCTTTACAATCAAATTCATTCTCACCTGACATCCCGTCCTATGGTCTTGTAGAACACTTTCAGAAACTTCCATCCTCCAGAGCCTAGATAGAAAACCAGGACAGCACCGATGGTCTGAAACCAGGGCAAGCCAACCACCGCCTTGAAGAGCAGCAGCAGGGACATACAGGACGCCACCCGAAGCATCCTCCTGCAAGAGAAGACACATGCACGGTCATGCAGTAGAAGCCAGAAACCTTTATACTGAGATCCTGAAAGGCACACCCACACACGTGTCCATCACAAACCCAACAAACAGGCACTTCCACGCAGGGCAAAGCTCAAGAACTAGAACACCGATAAGAGAGCTTACAACATTCACTTCTTATTCCCATTGTTTATAAGGCAGATTTCAGCTTTTGTAAAAATCTGTGAATGCACTCATACTGAAAAGAACAAAAAATCCCAGGTTCACACATACATGGTTTTATTGGATTGAGTTTACATGCACTGATGAATTTAGACAATTATTGACTGTCTAAACTGGCTGCTGTGGAGGATATGCTGGGAGTGAGTTGTTGAGATGGTGGGCCCTTCATTGATACCATCAATGTGCCTACAGGAGGGCTCTCGTCTCCAGTCCTGCTTGTATCTTCTCCAGTGGAAGGCACCCTTCCTTTTTTCCCCACTTACCTCCCAGCCCCCCCCCCCCCCCCCCCAGTTTTTTTTTTTTTTTTTTTTCAGATTATATGTAAATATTTGCTTATACCATTGCCCGGGTTAGGTGGGTTTTACCTAGACGCCTCTATGCACATTTTGTGACAAGCATACCCTGACTATGGAAATGGCCCAGGGATCCTGACTGTCAGCGTTTCCTTTATATTGTGGAACTCTAAGTCAGTCCTGTGCCTGGCCTCTCATTTACTTGCTAAAGGGGTTATTGATTACTTCACTAATGTCTGTTCTCTTTCAAACTACTCCTATTGTAGAAGGGACTTCAGACATCCTGCGGCCAAGCAATAGTTTATTTTACCTGTTTTATTTCCCTTGTTTCTTATGGTTCCCTTACTGTACCATACGGACAAAACTTATAAAGAATACAGAAAAAAAAGTGCATTTATTTTTGGCACTAGAGCACATATGTCAAAGACAAGGCCCGTGGGCCAAATCCAGCCTTCCAGACCTTGTCTTGTGGCCCTTGTACCCAGATTTGCAACTGGAATGCGTCAGAACTCCATTCCGCCACCTCCGGCTCTCACCTTCTGTGTTTACAAGAGATCAGCAGCTCCCAGATTTAACAGATCACTGCATGCACTCACAGTGGGGCACGGCGGGGACAGAACACCTGAAATCTGTACATAACACACCCTTAAACTCTGTACATAATGCACTCTGTACATAGCACACTCTCAAACATTGTACTCTGTGCATAGGACACCCCTGGAACTGCACTCTGAACATAGCACACTCCTGAACCCTGCACTATGTACGCAGTGCATCCCAGATACATCTGGCCCTTTATGATGCGGCCCACAATCAAACTGAGTTTAACACCCATGCACTAGAGCAGGGGTGGCCAACCTGCGGCTCTCCAGCTGCTGCAGGACTACAAGTTCCATCATGCCTCTGCAAGTCAGTAACTTCCCATCTTTGCAATGCCTCATGGGAAATGTAGTTCCACAACAGCTGGAGAGCCACAGGTTAGCCACCCCTGCACTAGAGCCTGCAAAGTATTGCAACTGTGATCTGTGCACCACAAGTGGAAAGCAAAGGCCCCTGCATACTCTTGCCTAAGCCCCAGGTCTTGAGGCGGTACAGACCTACCATTACAGTCACCAATGGGCCAAAACTAAGGACTGTCACAATGACAGATGGGACTTGTAGTCTTCCATTCCCAGAACCATGTGGATGGATCTGTGAATGGATGACGTGCCGCATGGTCTGAACCACACACAGCTGGGCAAAATAGAAAAAAAATGCAGGATGCTGTGGAGGGAAAATAATAACCCCAGAAATTCAAGTAAGGAAGAGAGGGTGGAAAATACTGCTGTAAACATTGTCAGAAAGGTCGATTTTTACATTTTAAAAAATGTGCATGTGAACATTTGTGTCATTTGTACTGGACAGCTTGGTCTGAAACAAAGGCATGTGGGGGGGGAGAAAACGGACACGCAACATAATCTTTACATGCATTATCTACATGCTATTATACAATATATTTTGCAATATCGATCTTCTAAGTCCAGGTTTACTTTTGTTATTAGATTTATTCTCTGCTGAAATAAAACCTCTCAGGACAGAAAATATCTGAACTGCGGTCATCTTTTCTCTGCTCTCAAGTCCTCACAGTACTTGACCTTTAAATAATTGGTGGTTGCTCAATGCGATTGCTAAGGATGGTGCCATGCTAGAACCAGGATACAAAGAAGTCGCTAAGACTCCAACTAAATGCATTTTACATATTTATTTTTGATTTATATATTTATTTAGGGGCCACATGGGGTCTCTTCCTGAAGGTGACATATTGGCTATGTTGCCTTGAGGAACGGACCCTATAATTCCAAAATGTTGGTTTCTTATGACTTGTGTGAGGCTGTTTTCATAATGAATACATTACGTGAAGTGCATTATTTGGAGTGTAGTTGACTTTGTATCTTTCTGTGTTACTGCTTAGTGAGTTGATGAACCAAAACCAGCCTGCAGCCGCTTAAAGTGTTACTAAACCCACATCAGTAAAATCAGTCTGTATATGCAGTAAAGCATGCTCGTTATATTCACAGTGGAACCTAGGAGGTTAATCATTGTGTAAAAAACTTGTTTGATCCTGTCTTCTCTGATCCTCTCCTTCTAATGTCCCCAGTACATCTGATAGAACAGAGCATTGGGGACACTCTGCACATGCTCAGTTTGGTGTGTGTGGCTAGAATTTGTTTGTTTTTTTTTCTTGGGACAGTGCATGTGATCAGCACAGGGCCAATCAACACTGTCCAGACTGAGTGTCAGGGGTCAATCAACCTCATAGGACAATCAAGAGGGAATGAAAACTCCTCCTACAAGCTTTAACCTGTGCTCCGCTGGACACTTATAGAAGTCATAAGACTGCTACAGTGGATATATAAAAAAAAGTCTACACACCCCTGTTAAAATGTCAGGTTTCTGTGATGTAAACAAATGAGACAAAGATAAATAATTTCAGAACTTTTACCACCTATAAACTGTACAACTTAGTTGAACAAACTCAAATCTTTTAGGTGGAGGGAAGTACAAATAAAAAACTAAAATAATATGGTTGCATAATTGTGCACACCCTTAAACTAATACATTGTTGAACCTTTGATTTGATTCCAGCACTTAGTCTTTTTGGGTATCAGCATGGCACATCTTGACTTGGTAATATTTGCCCACTCTTACTTGCAAAAACACTCAAAATCTGTCAGATTGCAATGGTATCTCCTGTGCACAGCCCCCTTCAGATCACCCCACAGATATTCCATCAGATTCAGGTCTGGGTTCTGGCTGGGCCATTCCAAAACTTTCATCTTCTTCTGGTGAAGCCATTCCTTTGTTGATTTGGATGTATGCTTTGGGTTGTTGTCATGCTGAAGATGAAGTTCCTCTTCATGTTCAGCTTTCTAGCAGAAGCCTGAAGGTTGTGTGCCAATATTGACTAGTATTTGGAACTGTTCATAATTCCCTCTACCTTGACTAAGGCCCCAGTTCCAGCTGAAGAAAAACAGCCCAAAGCATGATGCTGCCACCACCATGCTTCACTGTGGGTATGGTGTTCTTTTGGTGATATGCAGTGTTTTTGCGTCAAACATAATTTTTGGAATTATGGCCAAAAATTTCAACCTTGGTTTCACCAGACCATAAAACATTTTCCCACATGCTTTTGGGAGACTTCAGATGTGTTTTTGCAAAATTTAGCCGGGCTTGGATGTTTTACTTCATAAGAAAAGGCTTCCATCTTGCCACTCTACCCCACAGCCCAGACATATGAAGAATACGGGAGATTGTTGTCACATGTACCACACAGCCAGTACTTGCCAGATATTCCTGCAGCTCCTTTAATGTTGCTGTAGGCCTCTTGGCAACCTCCCAGGCCATTTTTTTTCCCCGTGTTTTCATCAATTTTGGAGGGACGTCCAGTTCTTGGTAATGTCACTGTTATGCCATATTTTCTCCACTTGATGATGACTGTCTTCACTGTGTTCCATGGTATATCTAATGCCTTGGAAATTCTTTTGTACCCTTTTGCTGACTGATACCTTTTAACAATGCAATCCCTCTGATGTTTTGGAAGCTCTCTGCGGACCATGGCTTTTGCTGTAGGATGTGACTAAGAAAATGTCAGGAAAGACCTACTAGAACAGCTAAACTTTATTTGGGGTTAATCAGGGGCACTTTAAATGATGGCAGGTGTGTACTGACTCCTATTTAACATGATTTTGAATGTGATTGCTTAATTCTGAACATAGCTACATCCCCAAATATAAGAGGTTGCATAAGTGTGCACACCCACAATTTTTTAGTTTATGTTTACTAAAAGATAAACCCCTAAAAGATTTCACTTTGTTTTTCAATTGAGTGGTAAAGTTTATAGGTCACATTAAAGGTAGAAAAAGTTCTGAAATTATTTATCTTTGTCTCATTTTTTTACATCACAGAAACCTGACATTTTAACAGGGGTGTTGTAGACTTTTTATATCCACTGTATATACTGCTGAGAAAAGGTATTAAGCAGTTTATATTTACTACATAATTGCACTTCTGTGTACTATGGGAGACCAGATATAGTGAATGCAGGGTCCTAGGTTTAGTAACACTAAGTGACAGGATCCTTGTCTGCAAATCACCTTGCACCCTGGAAAACAAGTCAGCGGCTCCAAGGAAAGTGGACTGTATTTGGGTATTTTCTAATCTCAACTCCAGGTTTGTAAAATAATAAATTCACTTTGGGAAACAAACATTCTGGCTGCAACTTTCACATTCTCTTCAGTGCCGCCCCCTGCAGACTCGGCGCTCCATGATCCAGCATTAGTTCATCATGATGGCCTGGTCTGTCAATCCCACTGGACAGTAAGGCTGGCTAGAGATAGATTGAATCTCAGCTGGTTCAGGAGGGACCTGCCGAGATTTGATCCATCCATGGGCAGGTTGGTTGTACTGAAGTTGGTCCATTGATTAACCTCAGTACATCCAGCCTATCGGATTTTTTTTGCATACAA